TTTAGTATAACCCACTTGACATCCAATAGAATTTTTTGTAGGCAAAGAACAAGTGCGGTTCCCATGTTCTTCAAGCTGCTTTCAAAAGCGACACTCTAGAGGAAAGTGTGAAGGAGAAATTAATAAATGCCTTTGAGGTGAGCTATGGCTTTCCCTTCGTTAACTTTACAGATCATTACAAAGTTGTTTATTTTAGTTCGTGTTCTGTTATCAACTTAACCTGGAATTCTTTTTATTCCATTTAATCTACAGTTCATAGTAGTAATAATTATAACATTTATTATTCTTATTCTTAGGATGACTGGGGATCGTTGATCTCAGATGTATACGGTAGTCACGTATTTGAGTCAATATGGGATTGCTCGTTGTTCACAGTAAAGAGGCGACAGGAGCTTATGAAGAAGCTTGTTCCAATCCATGTAAGTGACGAAATTATTAGTTTTTACGGGTCGTTTTTATTTTACTCCTTAGAATTTTAGAATGACTCCAAATTTTGGAAATTTGCAATGCTGAGATGTGATATGTATTTGTTCCGGAAAGATCGAAAAGCTTGGGTAGAAAAGATGAAGAAAACTGTGAAAAAGGTCAAGCATTAGAGCTCATGGCCGACGTTGTTAGAATTGTTTGTTGGATTGTTTATTGTTGATGTGTTCTTGGTGAGTTTTGATTGTTGTTGTCTTGGTTTCAAGTTGTTATGGGCCATTTTGCTTACGTGAAAGTAAATAAATATTTTTTTATTCATCACTACTTTATTTAACCGCACCAAAATTATTGCTTCACAGAAAGGGCGTCGAGAGCTTGTGCGTAAAAAACTGGATCAGGAATGAGGATCTGAGAAATCCGATTCTCTACCCAGACGACACTTATCTAACAATACTTTTGAACCAGTGGTTAGTTAGAAGTTTTGTTAGCCCAAGATGCTTTTGATGAACTGGATTCGATGCCGACACAACGATTACGGCGCCTTGTGCCACTTCACTAGCTCCAATGTCAAGAGAGAGTCATAGATGTAATAACTTTTTATCCTGGACCTAAAATATGGTTCACTAGGGAGGACTAGATGTGATCGCCAGGTTACCTTATGGTAATTAGTTTAGTTAGATCAAGTTGCTTCGCTTTCTGGGGAACCGGGACATGGGAATCCCGCTAGGAATGGTCTTGTCCAAATAGGACAGGAATCCATCCGGGTATAGAAGAATAATGTTTGTGTGTTTAGTTGCCTACGTGAACGAAGAGGTAGTCAAATATTCGGCGAGGAAAACCAGCCATTAGCCTGGCCACGCCCAGGACACCCGATGGTGCAGAGGCGGTCATGATCTTCTTCCCGTCTCCAGCCGTTAGTCACTTCGTTCCAATGGTTTCTGAGAGGTGGGTTACATCAAACTAGTCTGACTTAGTAATTTGCTACTGTTTTGATTACTTTGATTCAATACTTATCAGCTTATACGCAGATTTTTGAGAGAATCTGACCCCATTAGGATC